AGGTCATATAGTGTAAAATCGGGAGGGACAGACCCGAGGGATGTGTGCGTGCCTGCTCGCGGTCATTCGCTTGCGAGCTTCAAGTTTGAGCGTAAAATCGGGAGGGACAGACCCGAGGGATGTGTGCGTGCCTGCTCGCGGTCATTCGCTTGGGAGCTTCAAGTTTGAGCGTAAAATCGGGAGGGACAGACCCGAGGGACGTGTGCGTGCCTGCTCGCGGTCATTCGCTTGCAAGCTTCACGTTTGAGCATAAAATCGGGAGGGACAGACCCGAGGGACGTGTGCGTGCCTGCTCGCGGTCATTCGCTTGCGAGCTTCAAGTTTGAGCATAAAATCGGGAGGGACAGACCCGAGGGACGTGTGCGTGCCTGCTCGCGGTCATTCGCTTGCAAGCTTCACGTTTGAGCATAAAATCGGGAGGGACAGACCCGAGGGACGTGTGCGTGCCTGCTCGCGGTCATTCTCTTGCGAGCTTCAAGTTTGTTGCTGCGCAATGTGAAACAGAAATTGTTTTGAGATCCCTTCAATACTCAAGGTTCATATAAACGGTAAATTTTCAAACTTTTTTCATATATAAAGCGCACCAGGTTATAAGGCGCACTGCCGGTTTTTGATCAAATTTTAGGATTTTCAGTGCGCCTTATGGTCGTGAAAATACGGTATAATGTTTGTGTTATGTAGAACCAGAACAGACCAAACATGATATTTTTCTACCAAAATGCCTGGGATAATACTTCAGAACACTAATCTATGTATTTATTTCATATTCAAAACACACTTTTTGGTTGATACACAAACACATACTGCCCCCACCTCCCAAGGTCTCCTGCTGCAGTTTGCAACACAAATAGATGACATGAAATTCAAATTTTGAATTTGTTTGGTGAGTAATCCATAAATAGTTTAATATTATTTCAGTTAATCATGGTTCAAGAATGCAATTTGTTTTAATCTTACAGGATTTCAATAAAAAATGTAACACATTGATAGAAGAAATGCTTCAAGTACTCATCTATGTTGTAGGTAAGAAAGACAGTTTTTGGAAAAGATGGGGAGACAGGTAGTCCTCGATTTACAATTCATTTAGTGACCATTCAAAATTACAACGGTACTGAAAAAAGTGACATGACAATTTTTCACATGTACAACCTTTACAGCATCCCCAGTGGTCACGTACAAATGCTTGCCAACTGGTTCATATTTATGACGGTTTCAGTGTCCCAGGGTCATGTGATCATCTTTTGTGACCTTCTGACAAGCAAAGTCAATGGAGAAGCCAGCTTCACTTAACAACCATGTTATTAAGCGATTCACTTAACAAATGTGGCAAGAAAAGTTTTAAGATGGAACAAAATTCACTTAATACATTTCTCACTTAGCAATATAAATTCTGGGCTCAATTGTGGGCATACGTTGAGGACTACCTGTACATCTTTTGGGGATCGTTTTTGCTATGTATAAAAAAAGTGTGGTTGAAAATAGAAAAAAATAATCTTATTAAACCTATTGAACAGCTGCGTATTACTAAAATTTAGATTCAGTATTTGAAACCACAATTACTATTGACCAAGTACTGTGGCACAATGTCATCATCTAGACCAGTGTTTCTCAACCTTGGCGACTTTAAGTCTTTAAGCTGACTGGGGAATTCTGGGAGTTGAAGTCCACAGGACTTAAAGTTGCCAAGGTTAAGAAACATTGATCTAGACCATTGGTTTAGCAATATTATTAAGTGTGCCTGACACCATCAGTGTATGGTTAATTGACTTCAATTAAAGGCCTATGTGGCACAATTGTACATCTTGTGAAGCACTGTATTCACAACTAGTTTGGACAGCTGCACTTATAATAAAGAAACAGCCTTTCCTTTCATGAGATTATTACAGAAGAGAAAAAATTCAACTGACAAAAGAAAAGAAAAACCACTAGTTGATAGATATTTTTGCATAAAAAATAGCAAGATGCAAGACAGCTATTATTCCAGAATTTGTTATGATTTGTTCAAAGTTTTGGAGCATTTTATGCCAGTTGTGAAAAACTGTTCCTCTATTCTTGGTCTTCCCGCATGATTCTTTGAATATATGAATGCACTCCACTATTTTTGCCTCTCTGTAACTGTAGTAATCCCTTGGATATTTTTTTTTGTGTTCTTTATTAGGAGAAAGATATGTTCCAGGAGTAAGTAATGTGACAAAAGATTATGTGACAATGCGAGAAATTATCCATCTGCTGTGTATTGAGCCAATGGCACATAGTGCTATTGCAAAATCTTTGCCTAAAGATGTGAGTAATTTCTTTCCTTTTCCTCTCCTATATGTTCTGACAGGCAGCCCTTGCTTAACGACCATTCGTTCAGTGACTGCTCAAAGTTATAACAGTGTGGAACAAATGGTAGTTACCACCAGTCCTCAGACTTAGTAGTGCCAAAAATTTGGTGGTTGGCAATTGGACAACATTTACAACCACAGTGTGTTTCGACTCCCCTGCCCCTTCTCTGTCCTTTTGACTGCTCTGCACTCATCTCCTACCTCTTCTGTCCCAGCTGACCTTTACTGTCTTCTTCCGGCTGGTCCCAGATCCAAGTATTGGGTGAGGGCACAGCCCTGAGATACACACAAGAGGTTTGGCAAAGCTGAAAGGAAGAGGTAGGGCATTGGTGCAGGTGGCAGCTCCTTGGACAAAGACAGTGGCTGTAGATGCTGTGCGATCCAGTCCCAATTAGGTCCTTAAGACCTATCATTTTCTTTTCTTTTGACAGATGTTTAAAGATGCCTGCTGAAATCTTTTATTTTTAGTGATTATTACAGTCTGTCGCAGCTTTATGCCTGTACTCTGTGCACATTTTACATGTTTGCTTCTTCATTTTACAGATTTTATAGCCTGTCCAGTTCAAAAGGCTTGGGTGGGCTATAATACATTAACATTATAAAAGCAATAATAGAAATCAAAATGATAAAGGGCAACAGTAATAATAAATTAGCTCTTCTCAAAGAGGGACACCAATTGGGATCATATTCACCCAGAGTTTCACAGGTACATGTATGTTCCACTGTTTTTACATCACAATTTGCAACATGGAGGCTGCATGAAGAAAGGTAGACTTAGTTGTGTGACTATGATTTACTTGTGAAAATTAAAAAAAACAGTTTGTGTGGTTTTTTTTTTTTTTAGAATCAAGGGAGTTTATCACTTTATTTTTGCTCTGTGATATCTTTGGATAGTTGCTGTGTTTGTGGCTTCCTGCCAGAGACATAGATTAGCATGAATACTTGTAGTGGTAGGTTATTTTTCTCAATGGAAATGCTGCACTCTTGAAATTGCCAAGCCACCATTTAATCATCAAAGATAATTAGAAATAAATTCCATTTATAGGTTAGATACATGTAGCTCTGCAGAAGCAACCTTAGGTAGAGTTGACAGGCTCACAGCTTGCAGTTACAGTGTTGCAGAATCCTACAATCACTGGTCACCATTTGCTATCTCTGACATTAACAACCCTCCGTGATTTGCTTTAAAACAGTAACTGGGAGTGTTGGAATTGCCAATTCTAAACAGCGTGGGCACATAATGTTGTGCTTTACCATGGTGACCCAGTGGTTAAAATGTAATATTTCCGTCTTAGTACTATTGCTATTGCTATTTACAACCACTTTACTTAGCAATAGCAATTGCTAAGTAAATATGGTCCCAATTGTCATTGTTAACGTAATTATTCATACACACACACAAAAAAATCCTCTGCATTTCAGGATTCCCTCTCAGCCTCTTTCACGTGTATTATTTCCTTGGTAGGAACTAAAAGGGGAATATTGTGAAGAAAGAGAAGTTTCAGAAAACATAATCGCATGATTCATCAGCCAATACAATATGTAAGCCTGATGAGATTCTAGTTTGCTTCTCAACAAAAATGGTTGTGATTTAGATATGCTGCTCTTTTGATTTATTTTAAATTTACTATTTTCATCACCCCATTTTGCTAACAACCATGCGTGGTGCATGTCTTAACAGGAAAACAATGAGACTGGTTTGGAGAAGGTGATTCACAAAGTGGCCTTGTTCAAGTAAGTGCTTTTTTTAAATGAATACTTTTAAAATTATAAGTAATTGTTTAATAATTGCAATATGATTGAAAATAAACTTTTTTATTTAACTAAAGGAAACCTGGTTTATCAAGCCATGGAGTTTATGAATTGAAGGAAGAATGCCTCAAGGAGTACAATGTATTTTTTTACCATTATACAAAGACTCAGCACAATAAGGTAAGAAAGCATTTCATGGAAATATGAAGTTAGGACATTGGCATGGATTTCTTCTACAACTTAAGTAGGTTTGTTAAGCAAGAGGCAAAGGAGGAAGAATGCTAATTAAAATCACTCTGAAATAAAAGATACATTTTATCACTGAAAATCATATTTTATTTGTTTGCTTAGTTATAATTTTTCTATATTACCATATTCCAAAATGACTTCTTGTGGTTCACAATAATTGCCATAGTCAAAAATCAATAAACAATATTTTATTATATATAAAAGGAATTTTCCAGGGATTTTTCAGATTTTTTTTCCCTAAATGCAAATAGTCAAAGTGAATAGCAAAAACAATATACTGTCTACAATTTCAGTTTTAAGATTTTCTTCAGCTCATCAGTGGTGGGCAACCTAAGTGGCCTGCATGTGACACATTTCTCCTTGATTCTTTTATAGTGCCCCAAGCCTTGACCTTATTGCTGAAATTCAACAATTTAATTGCATTGGTCCTAATTTTTGCCTTTTATCCCCATGTAAGTAAAATAGTTATGTTAAATCTCTGATGGATATAGTGCAGCTATTTGGCTAATCTTTCCAAAATGCAGAATTGAAGAAGTTCCTTGGATCAGAAGCAAAAGTCCAGTTACCTTTTGAAAAAGCATTTTTGGGACAAAAATGATCTGGATGACTGAGAGTCTCCATAGACAAAACTTAGAGATAATGGGAAATTCTGTCCTGAAATAATGTTACCCTGTTGTAGTGTAGATACTTTTTTGATAGAGAGATGAACCGCATACTAAACAAACAAATAAATAAACAAATAAAATACTTTATATCCTGCCCTGTTTAATGATTAGTATTCTGGGATGGTTAGAACCAGCTTGATAATGAGACCAAAACTGTTTTGGTATACATGGCAGCCAGTACTTAAAGCAGCCTTCCTCAAAACAGTTTCCTTCAGATTTCTGGGATACAGCCAACTTGGTAAGACTATCTTAAGAATTTTGAGCATTGTAGCTCGCTATATCTCAAATGAAGAAAAAGAAGAAGGCTATTCGGGAACATTGGACTCCAGGTTTTTTGATACTGGATTGGCCATAGGGTCGCAGCCCTATAAGCCTCATAAATAGTGGGTATCTAATGTTGAAAGATTCAGTTATATTTAATATATTAAACAGCAATATCACTTCTTTTCTCAATGAACGGGAAATGGTAGATTCAAAACAAAGCTGTTGCAAATGCTACTTTTTCATACAATGTATTATTATTTATAATCCTCCCAAGTGGCTTGCATAAAAGATAATACAGTAAACATTCAGGGCATAAATAAATAAATTCTAGATGTTTTCTAAGGTATTGTTGGTAGAAAATGGAGGGAAAGCCAAGAAAGTATAGCAGAAAATGTATAAACAACAAATTCCATGGCTTCCAAAGAAAATGTTAAATTTGTAAAAATAGGAAGGGAGGAATTTGTATTATTTTTCTTGTTGTAAGTCTATATTTTTGGCTTGTGCTACAGCTTCTTTAGTCTAGTGACTAGTCCATTTTTTGGACTCAGTTGTTCATAAATGCTTGTGGAAGATTCACATCATTTACATGTTGATATATAGAAAGCAAATTAAGTTATTCATTTTACAGGCTGAACATATGGAAAAGAAAAGAAGAGTACAAGAAAATAAAGATGAAGGTAAACACAGTAGTATTATAAAATAAAATGAAGGGGTAGTTGATGAAGCTGTAATGTCCTATTTACTGTATATGAAGTTGGCAATTATAAACATCCTAGTGATGATGTGGAATTAATGAAATCATTTGCTATCAGCCAGAAACTGGGAGGCTTAAGATTTTATATCTCATTCTTTGTTTACTTTTGTAGAAATAGACCTTATGATTATGTAGTATAGATCTTACGATCTCTCCATTTTTGTCTGTTTGGGGTGATTGTGGAGGTTTTGTGAGTTCATTAGATGTTGAAGTATAGATATTAGGCTAAAGTTGGGGTGCTTACACTCCCATTAGATAGGAACTATGAGCACTATCACCAACACGATTAATAGCTGTTAAGTATTTATTTATTCCATCTATGTAACTGTCCATCTCAAATACATTACTTTGGACTAAAAACAAAGCAACAATTTAAAAATCTATTAATATATTTTATATTGAATACACATACACAAATCATGAGTTCAGCTTAGCAGAGATTTATTTCATTTTGATCTAAGCATTGCAGCAGCAAAAGACATTGGCAGTAATAATGGGCAGTTACTTTCCAATAATAATAGTGAAAACTAAAGGAATCAAGATGCCCTATGAAAATAAAATCAAGAGTCTGGATGAAGAAGATCACTACAAATACCTGGGCATCCTTCAAGCTGACAGTTTCAGACACTAAGTCAAGAAAGTTGAAGTGGATACATCATGCGCGTGAAGAAGATCTTAAAGTCCAAACTCAGTAGAGGAAATAGCATCAAGGCAAATAACACCTGGGCAATTCCAGTCATTAGATACACAACTGGAATAATGAACTGGATTTAAGCAGAAATAAAACCCCTGGATAGAAAGACCAGAAAAATAATGATAGTGAATCAGGTTCTTCATCCATAGCGATGTTGACAGATTCTACTTACCCAGGAGCATAGGTGAGCATGGAATATTGGAAGTAAACCAGATAGTTGAAGAAAGTAAAAGGGCATTGGAAGAATACCTGAATGACAGTGAAGTAGATGTACTGAAACTAATATACGAAGAGGGCTTAGTGAAAAATCAAAATGGCTTAGAAGAAAGACCAAAGGAAGAATAGAAAAGAGACATGGCAATGCAAAGTATTACATGGCCAGTGTACACGCACCCAGACACACACAAACAGGCAAAGCAGATAACAACATGGCAATAGTCAAAGTGCAATGTGACATAAGGCATGAGTGACGGTCTGAAAAGCCCCCAGATCTAGGAATGTTCATACAATATGTCTCACAAAACATTATAAAAGGAAGTGTGTACAATTGATTTTGTCTTCTCATAAGAGTAATTTCTATTTCATACCTGGCTATATATTAGTTCATCGATTTCAGCCAAACCTGGAAGCTTAAAACTTCTTTCATTCATAATATCGTAAGATGGGTAGGCAGTAATGCACTAATATATGTCTGCATTTTTATAGCACTCCCACCACCTACACCTCCAGAATTCAGTCCTGCTTTCAGAAATGTGGTGAATGTTCTCAACTGTGATATCATGATGCTTATTCTTAGAACTGTCCTGCAAAGAGCACTAGAGCTGGAAACTCACATGTGGACAGAAGCTATGATACAGATGGTATGTTTGTCAGCCCTGGCTTGTTAGAGTGAGATCATGTTTTAGCAATATCTTTATCTTAAATGCCTTTTGGGATTTCCTGTATATATTTTTCAAATTCATTTGTATGCTCTATCTCAAATGATTCCCAACTCCATATCTCTGTAAGCATGTGGGCTTTTGGAGGCTTGTATTTGCCTTAGCATTTTATTTATTTCAAAACAATTATGGAGAAGTGTTTTATCAGCATACATATAATAACGTATTTGTGTATCAGAGATAATTCGTGAAAGAGATCATGACTGTCCCCATTTTTTTAGTTATAAAAATCAGAACTTTTAAATTTGTATGCATATTGATCTGCAGGCAGAAGGAGGCATATTCCATTTTAATGCATGTACTTGAAAGATACGGCTCTTATCTCTGTTTCCACTAGGTAGACATCCAAATAGTTGAGCAGTGTTTTAGTATGAGACCCCAGAAGGCCAATAGTTTACTCAGGAGAATTTCACCAACCTTCTCTTCTTATGATATTGTTTGGATTAGGGGATTGTGTGCTTTTTCATCAGTGTTCCTACACATCTTACACTTACATGAATCTAGGCAACCCAGCAGCATTTTGAAAAACTTCTATGTTTGGCAGTTCATTTGCTTATTTTACCTTTCTGGGGTCAAAATACCAACACTGCAGAGAATCCAGAAATGTTCTTTAGTATCAAGAGATAGAATAACAATTTGTCAGAGCTTCTGTCTACCTCACCTTATACCAGACATAATCAAGATGGAGTTAATTTTCAGTTTCTCTTTTCTTCTTTCTAAGGATTGATTAATCTTTTCTAACTCTCTCCCCCTTAACACTTTGTTCCCTCTGCATTCCCATGTTCCAGTCCACATCCCTTCCCTTCCTATTGTGACAGACTGGCTTTGAGTACTTGTTTAATTGCTGTGTGTCTCACCATCCAAAATGCAGGCTGGTGTTTGTTTCTGTCCTAAAAGATGGTCCTGGCTAAGATTAGCTAGAGCAGTTACCTGGCTATTAGAGAATATTCCATTACTCTGAAGGATTAAGTTTGCTATCTGTCTCTACATAGGTCCTTCACATCCTTGCTTTGGGTTTACTTGAAGAGAAGCGTCAGTTAGAGGAGATTCCAGAGGAAGAAGTGACCTTTGACTTCTATCATAAAGCTTCCAGTAAGTGTGCCACCTTGAAAAAGAAAACCTATATTTAGCAATAAAGTGTTCATTCACAGAGTATCAGCAGTTGAATATAACTAGGCTAACTCAGGAGAGTCTCATAAATGCCATTTTTAAAACAAGTGAAATACACATTACTATTAAAAGTAGTTAGCTCTGAGCAAAGGTAAATTTGTAACTATTAAGACTTGCCTGTGTGGAATTATTCAGATTGTAACAATTATTAGTAAAAGAAGGAAATGCAACTCCTTTAGGAGGCTAAATGTGGCTGATTTGATTTAGTTAAAAAATTAAATCAAGTTAATTTAGTTTTAGTTAAAAAAAAACCTTTCTGTTGATAAAGGAATGGGAAGCTCTGCTTTGAATGCAATGAACATCCTCATGATTTTGGAAAAGCTGAAAGGAATTCAACAACTGGAATCACAAAAAGACATGATCATATGGGTACTACGGGTAAGTAAGGATTACAAGTGACTAAATCAATCAGGAATTGGCAGGATGGGGCTCAGAGGTGGTATTCATCAGGTTCTGATCAGTTCTGTAGAACCGGTAGCGGAAATTTTGAGTAGTTCAGAGAACCAATAAATGCCATCTCTAACTGGTCCCTCCCCCATATATTCTCTGCCTCCTGAGTTCCAGCTGGTTGGGAGAGAATGGGGATTTTGCAGTACCTTCCCCTGGAGTGGGGAGGGAATGGAGATTTTACAGTATCCTCCTGCCACGCCTACCAAGCCACACCACGCCCACCAAGCTACGCCCACAGAACCGGTAGTAATAAATTTTTAATACCACCACGGTGGGGATTAAGGGTAGTGTGATTTGTTTTATGGTCTTCCCTATAAAATAGAATAAGGCAAAAGAGTGTCTGTAGATCCAAAGTGGAGTAAAACAATTAAAGATGATTATGATCCAACTACAGAAGAAAGATACAAAGAAGAAATAATATTGGCTAAATTGAAATGGTTACTAGAAGAAGATGCTTTGGATCGCCATACATTTCTTGCAGGGCAAACTGGAAATATTACATGTGCTACATGCAGTTTGTGCTTAACTATTAAATCTGTGTTTGTAGATGTTTGAGACAATAAAATCCTTGAGAGAGAAGTCTTCTGTTCCCATGGCCGTCACTGCATCTATGACAGAATCTACAAAAGTTAATGAGGTAACCATGAAATCAGGTAGCCTTATATTCTTAAGCATTTTATGAATAGAGGACCAGCTGAAATGATAAATATTCTCATTCCGCTACTTTGTTTTTACTTCTTGTAGAGTATGCTTTGCTGGCAAATCCCTCCAGCAGATACTCCTCAATGTACAATGTCTCATTCATTTAATGACCATTGGAGATTTTAATGGCTCAGAAAGGGGACTTTGTGGCCGATAAAAACTTCCAGTCATTGTAAAACATCACTCATCTCCCTGCAGTCATATAATCACAATCTGGGTGCTGGCAACCTATTCACGTGTATCACTGGTTGCATCCAATGACCGTGTGATCACCATTCACTGTCTTTTTCACATGACCTCCGCATGCCTTAAGAGGCAGAGAGAAAAGGATTTTAGCACCCAGAAGCTCTGCAGATACAGAGAGGATGGAGAAAAGAATTTCAACTCTATGGTAAAATCCTTCTCTCCCTGTTTCTCTGTTGCCTGCACCCTTGTGTTCTTTATCTGGGATAAAAGATTCACTTAGCAATCTGTGTCACTGCGTAACAACTGCAGCTGGGGCTTCTGGGATTGTGGTCATTGAGCAAAGCAGTCATATACACGACTCAACTGCTCAACAACTGAGATTTTGATCCCAATTATGGCCATTAACCGAGGACTATCTGTACTCATAATAATTGCAGTCACCACTCTGTAGCTTGCAGAATTGAATTTTCCCTTTTCCTGAAAATTGCCCATGGCACATTTTTCCCTCTAAGGCAGGGGTTCCCAACTTTGAGGCTGTGGCCCAGAACCAGGCTGCGCGAGCAGTGGGCCTCTGAACATGTGCATGTGCGCAGCTTGACTCGCGCGAGCGGCGGGCCAGCACACACTCACATGCATGTGCACCTCTACTGCATGTATGAGCGAGCCGGCCCACCACTCATGCAGCCTGGTTCCCCTCTTCTCACCCAGCTGGGCCGCCAAGCCCCAAAGATTGAGAACCACTGCTCTGAGGCTTGTTGAACCCATAACCTTTCACTTTAGGCCAAACAGCCAGAGGTTTGGGGATTTGCCAAGACTATCAGAAGGAACTGCCAATGTTTATTTTATGTTTGTGATTGTCTTGAACAATACAGAGGGTGTTTGTTCTGTTAAATCAGATGCAGAAAATTCAGGAGAAAGAGAAAGCTGAGAGGAAGAGAAAAGCGGAAGTAGCCCGATTACATCGCCAAAAGATCATGGCTCAGATGTCCGCTTTACAGAAAAATTTCATAGAAACTCACAAGCTCTTGTATGACAACACACAAGAAACACCCGGAAGAGATGCTATGGAAGTGGAGAGGTAGGAGGAGGGAATGATATATCAGATAAATGCAAAAATTAGTAACCAGGTTAGTTTGGACCTGGTTAGTATTTGGAATGGAGACACCCAGGGCTATAGGCTAGACTGGGAAATAAAAATGAATCCTGGAATATCCTCATGGCAAACAGTTTATGCTCTCCCACAGTTAGCTAGATATGTTGGACACTGCTAATGGCTCTCTTATTGTGGTAATGTACCATTTTGGATCCCTTCCAGTACAGATAGTCCTCGACTTGCAACAGTTCATTTAGTCACCGTTGAAAGTTATAGCAGCACTGAAAAAAGTGACTTGATCGTTTTTCATACTTACAACCGTTGCATCATCCTGAAGGTCACATGATCAAGATTCAGATGCTTGGCAACTGACTCATTTATGAAGGTTGCAGTGTCCCAAAGACACACCTTTTGTGACGTCCTGACAATGGGAAGCCAAATTCACTTAACAACTATGTTACCAACTTAATAACGGCAGTGATTCACTTAACAACTGGGGTAGAAAAGTCGTAAAATGGGGCAAAATTCACTTAACAAATGTTTCACTTAGCAACAGAAATTTTGGGCTCAATGTGGTCATAAGTCGAGGACTACCTGTGTTGATTAAGAGGAAATATGGGAAAGAGAACCATCCCCTAAGGGGGGGAAGTGACACTAGCTCCTAGCAGGGAAGAAGATTGGCACAGCTCATGCATTTCACATACTGTAGGGTAATACAAGCAGTATCTGTGCTAAAATGTGAGGCATTTTTGGCAAGGCAATGCCTCATTCAGTTATATCTGAGAAGCTGAGAGCAGGCCTCAATCTGCTCAGAAAAGAAGGGCATGCTGGTATGCACGGATTTTGAATATACAGTATGTCAGTGTATGAGCTCTTCCATCTCTGCAAGATAAAAGTTTAATCTGTCCTATCTTAATCAGGAAGGATCTACTTCTGTACTGCTTCTTTTGCTAGCTGAACAGGCTTTTGTTTAAAATCTGAAAATGATGAAATTGTTTTTAAATATTAAATTAAGAAAGTTATTTCATCACAGAACTCAGTCAATCATTATTAGGTTTCTGTGATTACAATGCTCTTATATTGCTATTCAGATTCACTCAGTTCAACTGCTTGATAGGTGCTGCATTAAACAGGTTTTAGTTTGAAGTTCAGGTTGAAGATAAATCCATTTTTAATAGTTTTAAAGCAAATTTTATTTTTATCTGAACCTAAATTACAAATAATTGTTGTAGTGATCTTTGACTGGATTGTTGACCAAAAACCCACTGATTTGAATCGTGTGTCTTAGGTTCATACTCCCGCATTATCAAGTTAGAATTGCCTTGGGGCCCAAGCGAGGCCAGTCTGTCACTGAAAAAGAAAGGCTGACATGTATCCTGTGTCAGGAGGAACAGGAAGCAATGCTAGAAAATGCTGCCATGGTTTTATCTGCCTGTATCCAGAAATCCACGGCCTTAACCCAAAGTAGAGGGAAAGAACTTGAACTTGCAGGAGGTATGTATATTACATTGTGAAACTTTTGGGGAACTTTACAGCAGCTGCAGAGGACCTTGGGTGAAGCTGATTGTCTGGACCCCTTCCAGTCAGGATTCAGGCTGGGTTATGTGACTGAGATGGTATTGACAGTGCCCGTAGATGACCTCTGGCAGGAGCAGGATGGGGCAGTGTGACCATACTCGCTCTTTTTGACCTCATAGCCACTTTCAGCCATCAACCATGGTATCCTTCTAGACTGGTTTCGGGAGTTGGGAGTAAGCAGCACTGTTTTGTGCTTATTCCCCTCCTTCCTCTGGGGTTGGATCCAGTCGGTTTTTATGGAGAGTGGGGAGATCCAGCCACAGAGATCCAGGAGAAATCTCAAGATTCAGCTCTGTCTCCTCTCCTATTTAACACCTACACAAGGCTTCTTGATGAGGTGATCCAACAATTTGGGGTAAGGTAGCATCAATATGCTGATGATACCTATATCTTGGTTGTCTTGTCTTCATACGGACAAAGTGCAGTTGTTTCGACCCATCCAGTTTGGTCTGGCAGGTTGGGCATATTATGGGTCCCATCAGCGAACTGGTTATTGTGCCTTCTGTGCTGTAGTACCTATCCTCTGGAATATTTGCCATTCCGAGTTTAGGATGAACCTAACCTTTTTTGCCTTTCATAAGGCCATGAAGACTTGGTTATGTGCCCAAGGTTGGGCCCCCCAGGTATATTAAGGGTCCTATTTTATGGTTTTATTAACATCCATGGCAATAGTTCTACTATGTGATCATACATCATAGGAACAATTTACACATAGGGATATAGCATAAATGAACTTCATATAATTTGTTTTTCAGAATCTTTGTTTCCAAGGAATAGCTTTTTATCCTACCTTTTATTTTAAAAATCCTCAAAATACTAAAATTACAAAAGACTAGAGTTTTACTGACCAAATATTGACAAATATAAATTCACTGATCGATTGCATGTAATGCAAAATATCATTTGCTAGTCTTTTAATTTAATATAAATAATATGTTCTTTTTTATTCCCTAAAAAGATATTCTTTGCCAGAATTGGATGTGTGAGTTTATTAATGCATATTTTGCAAAACATCCCTTATTGCAAAAGGAAACTCTGTGTTTATTAATTTATTTCCCTCCACAGAAGACACTGATCCTCTTTTCATGGATCCGGACTTGTCATGTGGAACACATACCAGCACTTGTGGTCATGTGATGCATGCTGCTTGCTGGCAGAAGTGAGTTGATATATTCAGTAATTTTTATGATTTTATTGAAAACTTTAGTCAGTTTTCAGGCTACCTCTTTCCTAAGGTGCTTATGTATATGTTATACTGACTAAGTAGAAAGTAAAGAGACAGCACTAAAAAAGGGGAAATATTTGTAGCTCAGGGTTGAAATGTGAGGTCCTTGGTGGTCTCTGAGCTTGATTGTTTTCTTGCAGATGTTTCATTACCCAAACTGGGTAACATCATCAGTGCCAGTCATTTTATAGCCAAGGAATGTACTCAAAGAAATATAAGGCTAAATGCAGAGGAAAAATTGCTTCTTGATTTAGTTCCAAATTCTAGAGCAGTGAAGGCAAACCTTTTTTGGCTCTCGTGCCAAAAGCGGAAGGAGCGCAGGGGGGGGGATCGTGCACAGGCATGCCACGCCCATAATGCAGTGCGCGACCCCTAGTGTGCATGCGCAATTGACAGTCACTCCCCCCCCCCATTTTTTGCATGCTTTTTTCACCCTACCCAGGCTCCAGAGGCTTTATAGGAGCCTGGGGAAGGCGAAAACAGCATCCCTGAACCCTCCAGAGCGCAGAAAACCGGTCCTATGGGCAAACCAAAAATTCGGAAACGGCCTTTCAGCTTGCTCGTAGGGCCGGTTTAAGCCCTCCAGAGCCTTCAGGGGCCTTCTGGAGGCTTCCCTGAAGGCTCTGGGGGGCTTAAACCGGCCTTACAAGCAAACCGGAAATCCGTTACCGAACTTCGGGTTTGCCCGTAGGACAGGTTTTTTTGCACTCCAGAGGCTTCAGGGATGCTGTTTTCGCCTTCCCCAGGCTCCTATAAAGCCTCTGGAGCCTGGGGAGGGTGAAAAAAGTATGCAAAAAATGGGGTGTGTGTGCCTGTCATGCATGCATGCACACTGGGGATTGTGCATTGCATTATGGGTGTGGCATGCCCGTGCACAACCACCCTGCACTCCCCCTGCTTTTAGCATGCGTTAGTGATGTGAACATCAATTCTTATTTTTTTCAAAACTGCTTATCTATTGCTTTTGTCTAGGTTGAGCTGTTGGCTGACAGCTTTTCCTAAATGTTAGTTTCTGCTCCATATACAGGTGAAACTCGAAAAATTAGAATGTTGTGCAAAAGTTCATTTATTTCAGTAATGCAATAAATACAATTAAAAGGAGTTCGCTGGCTAATCAAGCACAGTAATCCAACAGTCATTGAACCAGGTTTTGATGCTTTTGGCAGTGTGGGCAACTGGAAAATGAAGTCAGCATCCCCATAAATCTCGTCTGCAGAAGGAAGCATGAAGTGCTCCAAAATCTCCTGGTAGACGGCTGCGTTGATCCTGGTCTTAATGAAGCACAGTGGTCCAAAGTCCTGTTGCTCAATGGTCCAAAGTCCTCTTTTCTGATATGAGCAACTTTTGCATTTCATTTGGAAACCAAGGACCCAGAGTATGAAGGAAGAATGGAGAGGCCAATCAAGCACAGTAATCCCACGGTCATTGAACCAGTTTTTGGTGCTTTTGGCAAAAGTTGCTGTACTCCATAATCATCACAATTATGACAAATCACGGCTTGAACTATCTTGATTTGCATGTGATGAGTCTTATCTCATATATTAGTTTCACCTTTTAAGTTGCATTACTGAAATAAATGAACTTTTGCACGATATTCTAATTCTTCGAGTTTCACCTGTAAATGCAAATGAGTTCAGGTAGTCCTTGCTTATTGACTGTTAATTCATTTCCAGTTTAAAGGTAGGTTGCAAAGGGTGATTTTTATGATTGGTCTTTGAAGTTACAGGTATTGCATCTTTCTCATGGTCACATGATCACAATTCATGTTTTTGATAACTGGTGCACATTTATCATGGTTGCAGCATCCTGCAGTCACATGATTATCATTTCCAACCATTGCAACCAACTTCAAACAAGCGAAGTCGATGGGGAAGCAAGCAGGAAGTTGCAAATCATGATCTCGTGACATATTTAATGATTGCAGGTTATTTGCTTTATGACTACAGTCGGAAATGACGTAGTAAATCAGGGACAATTATATGACATTTCACTTTATAATCACATCACTTAGTGGAGTACTGGTCACAATTGCAGTCAGTAGGCAAGGGCTGTATATACCGTAATGATTTATTGATGCAATAGTCAAATTGAATGGATACCAAATTTCAGAACTGGGTGTTTGCATGTGTGAGTTAGGTAGTTTATTCTGAGATGTCCATTTGCATATCAATTTCAGATACTTTGAAGCCATTCAACTGAATTCTCGACAACGTCATCATGTTGAACAGGTTTTTGATTTAGGGAATGGCGAGTACCTTTGCCCACTGTGCAAATCCCTGTGCAATACTGTTATACCAATTATTCCTTTGCAAGAAGAGAAGATAAACAGGTATGTGACTTTATTTCCTTTTTCCTATAATTTAAACTGCAGCTGTTTTTCTTACATTTATAGGGAAAATACATGATTCTTTCCTATGTTATACAGATAGTCCTCACCTTTTGACCACAATTGAGTTCAAAATTTATGTTGCTAAGCAAGATAGTTGTTAAATGAATTTTACCCCATTTTTGGGCCCAGTTGTTAAGTGAATTGTTGTAGTTGTTAAGTGAACCATGTGATTGTTAAGAGACTCTGGCTTCCCTCCTTGATTGTGCTTGTCAGAAGGCAGCTGGGAAGATCACAAATATGATCACATGACACACACTACAGTGCAGCTCTGATAAATACATGCCGGTTGCCAAGCATTTGAATTTTGATGACCTGACCCTGGAGATGTTGCAGTCATCATAAGCGTGAAAATTTGTCTTGTCACTTTTTTCAGTGCTATTGTAACTTCAAATGGTTGTAAGTAAAGGACTATCTGTATGAGCATTTTATTAACAAATTGTCCAGTGTAAGATCTTTCTCAGCTTTGTAGGAAATACCAATTTTTGAAAGCTAGAACAACCACTGCAAGATCAGTTCATATTTGAATAATCACCATTGTAACCCAATAGCTTTTTAAATGATGTTGTGTGTGTAAAACATGCACATTCCATGGCTCTCTTTTTGTATTGCCAGTGAGGATGCAGAAATGGTAGCTCAGCTTCTGTCTTTGTCCAAGTGGCTAGAGATTGTTATGGCTCAGATAGCTGGTTACAACAAGAAAAACAATAAAGGTTAGTGAACCTCATGGAGAACTTTAGAATTGAGAATAACACTTTTAAGATGCTGTTGAATGGGTTAAGATGTAATCCCATTTGTTTTCCAGTTACATAATTGCTTCCATTGATCTTTATTATTTCTCATAATCTTTTTTTTTCTGGCCGTATTTTACTGGTGCAGTCAATATTCTATTTCTTTTATGATTTATTGATTCCTTCTTAGTTTATTGTCTATATTAGTATATTGCATTAGGATGACTTTGTCATTATTTCTACATTTTAAGGTCACTAACGTTAAAATGAGAGAAATTACACAACTTTATGCATTCCATCAAGGCTATTTAATTTCTCATATGGCTAAATAGAAATGTTGACCAAATGATTAAACTGCATTTTTATAATAAAAGTAAGATTCTTTTATAGTAAAAGTATTTATTTCAGTTAGTTGAAATCAAAATGTAACAATCTTTTATTTGATTTTTGAAGAAACCAAAATTGCCCCATCTTTACTTAATAAAGAAATGGAAGATGCTTCATCTGAATTCCATTCTATACTTAGCTTTGGAGTTCAGCCATTGTAAGTATTGTGTTACACTTATAATGTATTTGTTACATGTATATTGTGAATCTATCTATCTATCTATCTATCTATCTATCTATCTATCTATCTATCTATCTATCTATTTATCTATCTATCATAAATTAGCAACTTTACATATGCATGTTTCTTCTATATCCAAGAGATAAATTCAACTGAAATATTTCTTGTTCATGAAATATTTTGAAACTTTATACAGTTACTGAATAAAGGGTAACTATACTAGTTAGTTCATAAAAATGGACATTCCGTTAAAAGCTACAGTATACATAGCATATCTTATAAAATAATTATATCATACGGTGACAATATGCTTTCTATGTTACCTTTTTAATGTACTGTTATGTTTAAATGAAGTATTTTTATTGAAAATGTTATAATGAAGCCCATTTATACAGTTTATTTTTATTGTCTCTCGCTTTGTTGTTCAAACAAACAAAAAGAAAAACCATTAATTTGAATTCCAGCTAGTCACTAATGACTGCTTTAGGAATGTAATGTAACTTCAACTGGTTTAAGTTTAGTATTAAAATTTACTTTAATTGTGTAAAGAACAAAGAATGATACAGTCTAGTTCAGGGGTGTCAAACTCAAGGCCCATGGGCTGGATCCAGCCCAACGGGTGCTTAAATCTGGCATGTGGGGCCACTCTGGAAACAGCGAAGGACCAGCCCGCAGTGCCTCTGCCATCAAAACGGGTTCCCAATCTCTGTTTTTGGCTGGGATGGCCTCCTTCAACCCTCTGCCAGTGAAAACAAAGTTGGGGAGGACTCTCCCAAGCTCCATTTTCACTGGCAAAGGGTTGCAGAAGGCCATCCCAGCCAAAAATGGAGATTGGGAGCCCATTTTTGCTGGCAGAAGACTCGGGCCACCACAGGCGCCCCTGACATGAGTGATGTCAAGCTGGCCATGCCTACCCAGGCCATGACTCCCCCACACCACCCCAGTCAAACACAACCCTGATGCGGCCCTCACTAAAATCAAGTTTGACACCCCTGGTCTAGTGTATCCAACAGGATAATTTCCAGCAATGAGGACTTCAATTCCCAGACTTTTGCTGCCCACATAGCCTTTGCTAAGTATTCTAATAATTGAAGTCCACAGAGCTGAAAGTTATCCATTTTGTTAAACTACAGTACTGTTTTCCATTGAGCAAACACATCTAACCTGAAGGACTAAAATTTCAAGCCTGGAGCCAGGAATTATAGTTTTCAATGACAGTTTAGTATTGCACATTTCTGACATAATTAGGTATGTAACAATTTATCTTTTGAACATTATCATCACCAGTTCACAACTTCTGGGTTCCTTTCACAGAATGGAATATTCAAACAGCATTAAAGAGATGGTGGTTCTCTTTGCCACAGCAATTTATAGAATTGGATTACAAGTTGCCCCTAATGAAGTTGATCCACGTATTCCTATGATGACTTGGAGCACTTGTGCTTTTACAATCCAGTGTTTAGGTAAGCCAAAAATTTGAATTTATGAGACCATTTGAAATAAAAAAATATATTTGTTTTTTAACCTAAAATAGTAAGCAACTATATTTTTGAAAATAAAGAAAAGCTATTTAAAGTAGTTAATAAAGCCTTGGTACAGAGAATGCTAAATGTATTTATTAAATTTATATGTCACTCATCTTGCTATCTGCATAATGTGGAATTATATGCTAAGCAGAAATTAGACCCTTACAGTCCCCATTAATATTCTCTGCTGCTAAAAGTGGATAGCGAATTTTTTTATTTTAATTTCAGAAAATACTACTTTTTATAAGGTCCCCCCCCCCTCAGTACTCATTTAACTGGTAATAATAGTACTACCCACCACAAAACCATTTTAGAAATTGTCATAGATGGGAAAATATTTGTTGCTCTAGACTTGGTACAAGGATTATGTTTAGGTATAACACAAGAAACATTTAAATGCCCGTGGCTAATATCATGTTTAATCATATCCATCGGCTAAGCCTTGGTTTATTAAATAATTCTACTTTGTACTTCAATTTCCAATAATATTCTAATATTCAATTTCTAGTATTGAAAAATGAAAGGAGACTATTCTGTGCACTAGTGCATTACTGATCATATGTAACACATCTATACCTGTGCAAATCCAATAAGCTGAAACAGAACTGCTAATTTAGAATAAGTCTAACTATAATGAAGCTTGTTTCTGATAAGGCTCCTAGAAATAAATTCTGTACAATTTAATACAATTACAATTTGCTATTGATATGGCAGATTTCAAGTGAAAAGAATGAACAAATAAAATGAGATTTGAACAAATGAATTGGTACATCACTCTTAGATGTTGTGCTACACCAGGGGTTAGCAAACTTAAACACTCAAAGAGCCATTTGGACCCGTTTCCCACAGAAAAGAAAACACCAGGAGCCACAAAGGTCCTAACCGGAAGCCCCCTGTTCAATTCTGGAGCTGACCAGAAGTTCAGTTCCCCCACCATAGAGTCTCCTCCTAGAGCGACGTACTTTGTCCTCTGCCTGTCATAACCGAAAGCCCTATCAATTGTGGAGACAACTGGAAAACCCTCCCCTTGCCATAGAGTCTTCTCCTGGCGCACTGTGATTCTCTCCCTTCCCCCCCACCAGAAGATCCTCTCAAAACTGTGGCGCCGACTGGTGACGGAGCCGCAGCAGAGGGAGGAAAGAGCCACATGCGGCTCCAGAGCCACATTTTGCTGATCGTAGGTATAGGGTTTCCTGCTTGAACAGGAGCTTGGACTAGAAGACCTCCAAGGTCCCTTTCAGCCTTGTTATTCTGTTAACATCTTGACGGCGACGGGTCACACATTACTCCAAACTACTTTGCTACTTCCTTATGACTTTCACCATTATCCCATCAGAAATGCTATATTGCCTTGCTGCAACCTTTCTTATGTATTTTGAATAAATATGT